ACTGGCTTAAGCCAAAAGCCTTGACTTTGTCAGGTCAGCCACATCACTTAAGGGGGAGCATGGCACCACCTAGTAGCACAAGCTAGTCAGTCTAACTCATACCCCCTCATGTATTTATCCAACCATTTTTAAATACACAAAATCTTGCTTCTATGATGGGGTTTGTTCCCTAACCACAACTTGTTACCAAAACCCTGTTTCCCTTTCCTTCTGAATCTGAATTTTTCCAATTTAAAACCCATTGATATGCATTTGAAAGTAAAAAAGGCTGTTTTTTCACTTTAAATAGACCTGGACCTAAAATCGTAAAAGCGGCCTGCCCCGTATATTACCCTAAAAAAGTCTTCCTTTGAAAAAAATCAAAAAACTCTTTTTTACAAATTTTTTGAATGGGAAAAAATATTTCTGAATTGTTCAGGTAAATAAAAACTACTTTATTTTGTAGAGCAAATCATCCCATGGGATTTTTTTTACAAAAAGCCCACTTGTTAAAAAAAAAAAAATGCAAAAATATGCAGCAGTAGGAAAAAGCTATCATTGGACATGATTTTACCAAAAGTTGGTGTTTTTGTAAGTCTTTTGCACTCCCAAACAGTTTTTTTGGTATATTGTTCTTTTAGGGGTGGGCATCAGCTTTAGTGTTTTCAAGGGAAAAATCAGCTCTGCAACAGCAGTGGCCTTTGCTTTCAAAGCTGTATCAAGAAACCATGAATTGGAAACTTGGGAAATTTGTTTAATTTTTTTTTGGGGGAACAGTAATGTTCATCTGTTCACGAAGAATAACTGAAAGTGTCAGGTTCATGGAACATTTTATGGACATTTGGTGAATTCATCAAATTTTTAATATCTGGGACAAATGGGAATTTCCCTCCAGTTCACACCCTTTTGGGCGTAGGTCTGTCCCTGTTAGCATGGCCACTGCTGCTGCCCCAGCTGGGAGGGGTGATTCATTGCGCTGGCATTGTCAGGCGTTGGTTCCAGCTTGTACTGTCAAGGGGTGGGGTTCCTTTTTCTGTTGGCATGGCTGGGCTTTTTGCCACGCAGTTGGACTTTCCCGCTCTTTTCATAGCTGTGTTTTCTACAGTATTTTTTGATACTAATGAAACACCACCCCCCCCAAATTTTAGATACTATGATAGATAACATCACTGATTGATGTTCATCCCGTCTAGATGTGCTGCCAGGAACAAAGAACACACATGGGTGAGAGTCGACCATGCAACGCTGCATGGTTTTTTTATTTGGCGAATATTCTGCATCATTATCACCTGATTTGGCACTCTCCTCCTTATACACACTTCTCCATTGTCATTACCCACATCTCTTCAATCACTATCAGTTTTTGGGGTAAAGAGCCTTCAGCATCTCCTTTATTATGCAGTAGTTTTGAGGTGGAACTGCAATGCTATATCTTGTGTTGAACTGGCAATATTTTCATTCCTGTCTCCCTCGAAATTGGAACATGGTGCTCCATTTTCACCCTCCTCAATGTCACTGGTGTCTTCATTGATCAGTATGTATTTATTTTTTCATAATTTACTGTGAAAAATGTTGGTGTGTCAGCTTACCATTTTGAGCCTATGTTTATTGGGTGATATTACCGGGTGATATTACCCACAGTGACCCCACACATACCCAGTGGGTTGGCTTTTTTTCCTTATGATGCATGAAGTAGCTACCTACCCAAACAAACAACACAACCAAGACCTAAAATCGTGGCATGTGGAAAAAGTTGTGCATACTAATATGTCAGACACGTTGTCATCACTTTCACACTAGCACACTGGACACAGTTAACCTTTTCAGGGTTTCTGACGTACTAGTACGGCTTACGCACCAGGGTTATTGATGTACTAGAACGCCTAAATTCTAGCGCCTTCAAATCTAGTGAGAGAAAGCTGTTAGGCCTACATATGAAAGAATGGGTCTATGTGGTCAGTGTGCACAGTATAAAAAAATCCTGCAGCACACAGTGCATAATGACAAAAAAAAAAAAACTCCGACTGTGTTTTTGGTTTAAAACAGAGACTTTGCAGTGTATTTTCGTATGGTATTTATGGTTGTATTCTAGTTTTCCTGGTCTCATTTTATAGAATGGAAGACATATTACAGAAATTGAGATGATTTTGATTGGTTTCATAATGAAAAGTACCTTGAAATTGAGCTCAAAGTAGCAGAAATGTTCAATTTTTACCAAATTTCAAAAGTAAACAAATCATGCCAAGCATCCAATACATGTCAACTGGTGAGTCTGATATTCTTTCACAAGTGCACTGATATTATTTATACCATTTCTACACTAATGCAGTAGTCTGCATAACAGTAAATCTTCTATTTTTTGTGAGAATAAAAATTCAAAGTGGAAAGCAAAAGAGATGTAAGAGGGGCCTGGGAACATGACTGATGAACAGAGAAAATGTTATTTTAGTTCCAGGAATGTCTGTCTTGCTTATTCTGGACCCTTTTGGAAATTGGCATCTTCTGAAATTTGTGTGAAATTGGCAAAATTGCCAATTTCTGACCACTTTATTGGATACTTGAAATAGGTAAATGGGTGGTTTCTTGTACTCATTCGATAGAAAAAATGGAGTTCTAGTGAAATAGATATGATTTTTGTAGACTAGTACACTGAAATTGGCTGAAAATAGGGCCGACGTGTAAACATCGTTGAGACCGCTAACTTTGTGAGAGCATAATTCCGTAAGTTTTCCTTCAAATTTCATACTTTTGGTGTCATTATGATCGGGAAAATATTCTCTGTCATTTTATGAGATTTTTTTTTTTTCCCCGAAAAATTTTCGACCCTGAGAACGAGTTTAGGAGAGGGCCTCTCGACCCTGAAAGGGTTAAAAGGTTAAAAGAAATAATTTCAGGTGTTTATGATTTAAATTTTAGGGACCATATACTAAATCAACCAATATAGTGCTCACAATAGTCAGTTTATGAATTAGGTTTTAGGGAATACGTATAAGTTTAATCAAGCAGTACTGTATTCTCGGCCAGTTTTCAGAATCAAGTGAATAAACCTGAATGTCACAAATTGATAAGGGGTTCTCTCACTAATCTTCCTATTAGTACAGTGCCTGCACTTTAAAGGAGGGGTTTGGGATATTTTCTGATTAGAGAGACATCTAAACCGTCGTATCTGTTCACCTCTGACAAGACAGTGATTGTGTAAATGATGGTATACCTTTATACCTTTGATATACCTTTGAAGAGTTTCGAGAGTTTCACTACTCTCGAAGCCCGGCCATGGGCCAGGCTTATCTGGTGCTTGCCTGGTCAACGAGGCTGCTGCTACTGGAAGCCTGCTGCCCCACATATCCATCACAGCCTGGTTGATCTGGCACCTAGTGAAGATACTTGTCCATTTTCCTCTTGAAGGCTTCTACACTTGTTCCAGCCGTGTTTCCAATATCTTCTGGTGAGATGTTGAATATTCTGGGACCCTGAGTGTTGATACAGTGTTCCCTTATTGCCTCCACTGCACCCCTGCTCCTCACTGGGTTTATTTTGCACTTCCTCCCATATCTCTCACTCCAGTATGTTATGGCAGTGTGCAGATTTGGGACCAGGCCCTCGAGTACTTTCCAGGCTTATATTATCGTGTATCTCTCTCTCCTCCGCTCCATTGAGTACGTGTTCAAAACTTGAAGGCATTCCTAGTAATATAAGTGTTTTACTGGCTCAGTGTGAGCTGTAAACGATCTCTGTATTTGTTCCAACTCTGATATTTCTTCTACTTTGAACAGGGCCATCAGCACTGAGCAATATTCTAAATGAGGGAGCACTAGCGATTTGAAGAGTGTCACCATTGACCTTATTTCCCTTGTTTTGAAAGTTCTCAATACCCATCCTGTCATCTTTCTGGCTGTTGTGATCTTTGTCTTGTTATGGTCTTTAAAAGAAAGGTCAGCTGACATAATTGTTTCCAGGTCTTTTACATGTTCCTTTTGTTCTATTTAGTGACCCTCTTGAGTTTTGTATGTAGTGTCCCTCTTGAGTTTTGTATATAGTGTCCCTTTAGGGTTCTTCATTCTTTCCATACCTAAGCAGCTAGAACTTATCACCATTAAATGTCATGTTGTTCTCCCCTGCCCACTGGAAAAACCCTGCTTATGTCTTCCTGTAATTTTTCAGTGTCCTCTACTGTAGTGACTTTCATGCTTATTTTAGTGTCACTTGCAAATGATGATTTGAAAGTGTGACTGGTGTTTTTATCTGTCTGCTATGAGGATGAGAAATAGCAGAGGTGCTAGGAGCATTGAGTTTTTCACCTCGCTGATGCTGGATCTTGCTCAGTTTACTACTAGTTTTTGTGTTGTGTGTGTTAAGAACCCGAAAATCCATCTGCCTACTTTTCCCATAATGCCCATGGCCCTCATTTTGTGTGCTATCACTCCTTGATTGCATTTGTGAAATGCCTTTGCAAAATCTGTGTAAATCTGGTGAAAGTGTTTCTTTTTTGGGTTACCCTGCCTCGGTGGGAGACGGCCAGTATTTAAAAAAAAAATATTAATCTAAACCAGGGGTGGGCAAACTTTTCAGTGCAGGGGCCACATTCAGCCATTTGCGGGTAACGTGTTAATGCTCCTCAATATTTTTTGGCATTGCATGGTAAGTTTTTTTTTTCAAATTTACTAATATTTTGTCCCCAAGTAACGTGTTTATATGACTTGATCTTGGTAGGCCACATGCAGCTCGTGGGCTGTAGTTTGCCCACCGCAGCTCTAAACTATCCAAGAGAGCTATACATAATTTAGTGAGCCAACCTGTAAAGAATAGTGATAGTAAAGTATTGTTTCATTTGCCTGTTGGGTGTCTCTGCTTAGACAATTATTATTTGGGCTGTTTCTTACTCTTCTGTGTGGGCTCTTACAATATTAAAGTACAGTATTTGTGAGGTTGTTTTTTCATATTTTAGAATTGTTGTTTCAGAAAGCTCTGAATAATTCAAATACATCCTACTTTAAATTTGTCTCTGCTCTTCATATTTTCAGGTTGGTGAGCTGGAGTTTAAGTGTAATAATCAGAAAACACAAATTTTTGATTTGAAGGAGGCTGTATGTTCCTTGCAGTCAGAAGTAAAAGGGATAAGATTAGAGTGTGATGGTTAGTATTCTTTATATGAATGTGTAAATGTTTTTGGCAGGTTTCTTTAGCTAGTCAATTGATGTACAGTACTACAGCCTTACTGAATGACTAATCACTTATAATGTCCTTCCATGGGGCACCATGAACATCATTGATGACTAAACATCTTAACATTGGTAAAAAATGTTTTAAAACACTTGTGAATATGGAGGAGGGAAGTACAATGTCTGTACCGAGAAGGATGGATGGGGATGCTATGGGATAGAGGGTCATTTGAATCGTAATGTCTGTGTGCTTGTCAACTATTGAATGAGTGATGATGTGTGTTTCCTGATCATCACTCAATTTTTAATAATACTGGCTGACACCCTCCATGGTAGGTGACAAAAAAAGGGAAAGTTTACCATCTTTCATTAATATCTGTCTTGCCAGAGGGCCACAAACAGCATGGTTTAAATAACTCTCTCATCTGCAACATCACTACCCCTCCTTCAGAATGCAGCCACACTACTTCCCACTACTAGGGATTGCTGTACTTATATTATTACATAAGGATTCCTATATTTATAGCTTCACATAGGGATTGCTGTATTTATAGCTTCTATTTGGGACTGGTGCATTTATAGCATTACATAGGGTTTACTGTATTAACCCTTTGACTGTTTTCGACGTATAAATACGTCTTACGAGCCAATGTTTCTGACGTATATATACTCAATAATTCTAGCGGCTTCAAATCAAGTGGGAGAAAGCTGGTAGGCCCACATGTGAGAGAATGGGTCTGTGTGGTCAGTGTGCACCACATAAAAAAAATCCTGCAGCACACATTGCGTAATGAGAAAAAAAAAACTCTGATCGTTTTTTTGGAATAAAACGCCGAATTTGAGGTGTATTTTCGTATAGTATTTATCATTGTATTCGCGTTTTCATGGTCTTAGGTGATAAAATGGAAAACATATTACAGAAATAGAGATGATTTTCATTACTTTTACGAGGAAAACGACCTTGAAACTGAGCTCAAAGTAGCGGAAATGTTCGATTTTTACCAATGTTCAAGAGTAAATAAATCACACCACACGTCCAATACACGTCAACTGGGGAGTCTAATATTCTTTCACTAGTGCACTGATATTATTTATACCATTTTTACAATAATGCAGTCGTCTGCATAACAGTAAATTTTGTATTTTTTTGTATGAATAAAAAATCAAAATAGAAAGCAATAATAATATAAGAGGAGCCTAGAGATGTGACTAATGAACAGAGCATATGTTATTTTAGTGCCACGAATGTCTACCTTGTTTATTCTGGACCCTATTTTGAAATTGGCATCTTTTTTATTTTGCGTGAAATTGGCCAAATTGCCAATTTCTGACCACCATATTGGGTAGTCCAAATTAGTAAATGGGAGGTTTCTTGTACTCAGCTGATAGATAAAATGGAGTTCTAAAGAAATAGCTATGAGTTTGGTCAACTGGAACAATGGAATTGGCTGAAAATAGGGCTCAAAGTCGGCGAAATCGCCGATACGCATATGTCGCCGAGACCGCTAACTTCGCGGGAGCATAATTCCACGAGTTTTCGACCAAATTTCGAACTTTTGGTGTCATTACCATCGGGAAAAGATTCTCTATCATTTCATAAGAAAAAATAATTTTTTTTTTTCAAAAATTGAGCGACATAGAATGACAGTTTCAGAGAGGGGCCTGAAACAGTCAAAGGGTTAATGGCAATTGAGGTTAGCATTTGTTTTATATAATAATTTAAGGAATGTATTCAAGTGAATTTTTTAATATCTAATTAGAAATGATGGCTGCAGAGGCTGGGAAGCACAAAGAATCTTTGAGGAACCTGGATCAACAATACAATGCTGAAATACAGCGACTCAAGAAGGAGCACCAGCTAATGGAGGTATGTTTGCTTATCCCTTGATTACCGGTACTCAGAATTTCCGTGCTTTGACCTAGAATGCAGAAAAGTTGATACTGTGAAGTTGTTGCATTTTTTGGTTTCTGAGGAAATTGATTTTTGCTTGTGTCTATCTCTGATGCCTTTTTTTGGGGGGGAGTGGGGTTAGCCATGCAGTTTTCCTTATACAGTCATGTCATCTCTTGTAAATCATTCTCCACTAACTTTTCCCCATTAAAAGGTGAGCTCTGAGTATGAATGTACAGTGAAACCCTGGGTTTCGGCCGCCCTGGGAATCGGCTGCTTCGGATTTCGACTGCTTTTTTTGTCCAAATTTTGTCCCATGTTTTGGCCATTGCCCCGGGTTTTGGCCGGCATACCGGACCTGTCTGCCTGCCCGTGCAGGCGTCCTGAGCCAGTCCAGCGTTGTTTATTCTTGAGTGAACATTACCCTGTGCTCTCATCCTGCCAGCCAGGCAGCTGAAAAATTTGTGCATGAATTTAAGGGGTACATAGAGACTGAAAAAGTAAAACCCCAACAAGCGTTCAGTTGTGACAAAACAGGTGTGTTTTGGAAGAAAATGCCAAAGAGGACCTACATTTTTCAGGAGGAAAAGGCCCTGACAGGACACAAGCCTATGAAAGACAGACTAACTCTTTTGTTCTGTGCTGGCATCTGGAAGATGCCAGCAAGTCTCTTTAATAAAGGTAAGCAAATGTTATTTTAAATGTTTATTTACATTTTAATTTATCTATTGTTTACTAGTATATGTATTTGTGTGTGTTGTGTTTATGTAAAACTATAGTTATTCTTTAAAAAATGTATTTTTTGTGAATATTGTTGTGAGTCTAGAACAGATTAATTGTATATACCTTATTTCTTATGGGAAATATTGCTTCGCCTTTCGGCCGTTTCAAGTTTAGGCCTAGCTCCTGGAACGGGTTACGGCCGAAACTTGGGGTTCCGCTGTATGCTTTCTTTTGTGATAATCTGAGGAACCAGACCTGATTGTCCCTTCTTTGAATCAAACATGATTGCTTCCAATTTCTGTGTAACCCCTATGGGTTTAGTGCTCACCCATGAATGTAATTAATATAATTATAATAAAAATAATGATTGTGATTAGTTGAACTACTGTTGGAGAAGATGTTTGATCATAGAGCAGTGACTGCTGATACTGTCACTGAAACACCATGAGCAACAAAGATTATTGTAGATGTTTCATTTATTATTATTAGTATAAACATGGGGGAGCATTAAACTTATAGGAATCATATAAGGTAAACAGGTTTGATCCAGAGGGAAGGGTAGCTCCAGTTTCTTCAATCCAGAGCCTTTCACCAGCATCTAGGCATTCCTCTAGAAGAATTACCAATATATTGAAAGATGCATCACCAGTTCCTATGACTTAGCCTTGCATTTAGGTAATACTACATAGTGAATTTACAAGAGATATACTCAACTGGGCACTGATGCAATGATTCTTTTTTCTTCTTGTCACATTTGACATGAGTTAGGAAACTGGGAATGCTATCATAATGCTATTATCTGTGTTCAACTTGCACTGAGGAACTTCTGTCATTGCTAGATCAAGATGCAATACATGTGTCCATCAGTGTGTGTGTTTTGTGTTATGACAATGTTTGAATTTTTAAAGAATATTTTTTTTTTCATTAATATGATCCTTCAAGGGAGATTCATTGATGTTGGTGAGGGGCCCTTGATCTAAGGAATTGAACTTGTCCTCCCCTTTGATCAAACCTAATTATCTCCCATTCCCCAGGCGCTGTATTACCCTTACAGGTAATAATTTTATTAATGTAAAAGAATGAAAAAATTTGTTAATATTAGTTCATGGTAGACTTATTGTTAGCTACAATTTTTTTTTCAACAAACCGGCCATATCCCACCAAGGCAGGGTGGCCTAAAAAGAAAAACAAAAGTTTCTCTCTTGAAATTTAGTAATTTATACAGGAGAAGGGGTTACTAGGCCCTTGCTCCCGGAATTTTAGTCGCCTCTTACAATACACATGGCTTACAGAGGAAGAATTCTGTTCCACTTCCACATGGAGATAAGAGGGAATAAACAAGAACAAGAACTAGAAAGAAAATAGAAGAAACCCCAGAGGGGTGTGTATATATATGCTTGTACATGTATATGTAGTGTGACCTAAGTGTAAGTAGAAGTAGCAAGACGTACCTGAAATCTTGCATGTTTAAGAAACAGAAAGAAAGACACCAGCAATCCTACCGTCATGAAAAACAATTACAGGATTCCGTTTTGCACTCACTTGGCAGGACGGTAGTACCTCCCTGGGTGGTTGCTGTCTACCAACCTACTACCTAGATTAGCTACAAATATGTTAATGAAAAAAACGGAATGTACTTACTTAGACATTTTTACACAGCCACCCATGTTAAACATGGTTCCTGTATCGTATTATTCTTTCTTTCTTTCAACACACCGGCCGTATCCCACCGAGGCGGGGTGGCCCAAAAGGAAAAACAAAAGCTTCTCCTTTTACATTTAGTAATATATACAGGAGAAGGGGTTACTAGCCCTTTGCTCCTGGCATTTTAGTTGCCTCTTACAACATGCATGGCTTACAGAGGAAGAATTCTGTTCCACTTCCCCATGGAGATAAGAGGAAATAAGCAAGAACAAGAACTAGAAGGAAAACAGGAAAAAACCCAGAGGGGTGTGTATATATATATATATATATATGCTTGTACATGTATGTGTAGTGTGACCTAAGTGTGAGTAGAAGTAGCAAGACATACCTGAAATCTTGCATGTTTATGAGACAGAAAAAAAGACACCAGCAATCCTACCATATTGTAAAACAGTTACAGGCTTTCGTTTTACACTCACTTGGCAGGACGGTAGTACCTTCCTGGGTGGTTGCTGTCTACCAACCTACTACCTACATTAGCTACAAATATGTTAATGAAAAAACGGAATATACTTACTTAGACATTTTTACACAGCCACCCATGTTAAACATGGTTCCTGTATCGTATTATTATTATTATAATAAAAAAGAAGCACTAAACCACAAGGGCTATACAGCGCTGCTCCTGTATCATGGGACATCAGTGATGCTTTGTGATGAATAATAACTAGCTGTAGACAGAAAAGTCACAGAATAACAAGCAATGCATGTTTTTATTCTAATTACATTACCAGATTTTTAATAGTTTTATCAGGAGTGATGGCAATTTAAATTTCCATATTTATAGAGCTCAAAGAATAAAAAGTCGCAATACCATGGCTGGAACAATTCACAAATAACCCACACGGAGGAGAAGAACCTTATGACAATTTTTTGGTCTGTCCTAGACCATTGTCAAGTCACAACTGAGGTGAGGAAGTAGAAAAGACCAGAGGACATGACCACCGCTATTACTACTACCACTTCCTCCTTCCCCCTCTCTGTAGCATTTTCTAAATTTTTCTAGTCTCAGTTGTGACTTGAAAATTGTTCTAGGATAGAAAGAAGCATTATACTAAGGTTTCTTTCATAAATGAAGGATTATTTGTGAATTTACAGACCTTAACTGACTTTTTATTTAACAGGTTAGGTTCTGGGCTACTGCTGTAAAGTGAAATATAACCTTTTTTCACTTTCAAATGCATATAAAAACCTGATATGTTTACACTATCATATATTAAGTGAACAATAGAGCTAGGCCTAAAAAATGCATATACAATACACAAATTACTATTTTTTTTTTTAAATAACCAATTATTACAAAAAAAGTAATTTTTAAAAGAAGACGGTAAGATTTACTCCTTTTGTAATAAAGAGTTCGGGATACATAAATACACACATTAATATAAATTAATCTTTAATATATAAAAATCAACTATCTTTGGTCTAGAGGTATTTGAACTATGATATAATAATAATATGTACATGTTACTATAATAAATTATAATCAGCATTTTACTAAAATATAATTAATAACCCTACACAGGGTACAACTCTTGACACTACTGTCACTATATATATATATCTCTCTATGCTAAAACAATAAATTATAAATAACATTTTTATAATAATAAATTACAATCAACTGCCTCTCACGACACGAAGTCAGTCACACGACACTGTTCAGTGTACACTACAACCAGGCCATCTTCAGTGTCCCACGACACCCTTTTCATCTCAGTGTTCCACTACGGTCCTGTGCATATCTCAGTGTTCCACTCCATCGTACGTCCCTCAGTGTCACACTACGGTCCTGGCCCAGTTCAGTGTAACACTCCAACCTTTTCTTCATGTAATGTCCCACTAAACAGCATCTGACGACTCCGGCCCACAGTTGATCAACGTAGACGGTGAGTCCACAGACATCACCGGTAGTCCAGTAAATCCTCTCCAAAGGCGGTTGACACACCGCTAGCCGAACACCATGCTGCAAGCTCACTGAATGCGGCCGTCAAGTAACTGAGGCCAACAGACTCAGTGAGCTGCGGTGAGCGGTTCTTCTCACGCCAGTAGATAGGTACGATTCGGTGGTCAGGTACCTACTGCATAGACGTGTACCCTGAGGAGTTCAGGTACTTAATGTTGAAGCCAGTAGACGTGTACCCTTCGGTGGTCAGGTACCTACTGCTTAGGTGTGTACAGCGAGGCGCTCAGGTACATAATATTTCTAAAGCCAGTAGACGTGTACCCTTCGGTGGTCAGGTACCTACTGCTTAGGTGTGTACAGCGAGGCGCTCTGGTACATACTGTTACTAAAGCCAGTAGACGTGTACCCTTCGGTGGTCAGGTACCTACTGCTTAGGTGTGTACAGCGAGGCGCTCTGGTACATACTGTTACTAAAGCCAGTAGACGTGTACCCTTCGGTGGTCAGGTACCTACTGCTTAGGTGTGTACCGTGAGGCACTCAGGCTCTTACTGCTCTAAGGCCGGCTCAGCAGCCCCCACATTGGGTTTGATGACGCACCCAGTGGTACTGCCGGCCGGCAGGTTAACTATTTAACCGCTAGTTTGGCAGGGGCCGCAACACCAATCATCTTCTGAGGCAGGGTGACCCAAAAAAGAAAAAAACACTTTCATCATCATTTAAACACAATCACTGTCTTTATGGAGGACAAACAGCCAATATCCCAGACCCCTCCTTCAAAGTGCAGGCATTGTACTTCCCACCTCCAGGACTCAAGTCCAGTTAACCAGTTTTCCTGAATCTCTTCACAAAATATTACCCTGCTCACACTCCAGCAGCTCATCCTGTCCCAGACTCCATTCGTCCTCCATTCACTCCTATCTAACAAGCTCACACATGCCTTCTTTATATCCAAGCCCCTTGCACACAAAACCTCTTTTACCCTGTTCCTCCATCTTTTCCTAGGATGACCCCTACCCCTCCTCCCCTCCACAGCAGATTTATATGCCCTCCAACTCATCCTATTTTGCTCCATCTCTAAATGACCAAACCACCTCAACAACCTCTCCTTGGCCCTCTGAATTACTTCTTAAAATTTTTTTGTCCTTAGCTCATAGGGAGTAGTGAATATATTTATTGTAAGAAGTCCGAAGAATAGGTATAATTGAAATGGATAGGTATAATGTGAAATGCTGTAAAGTGGGACCCACCTGTGTACCCCTTCTAAGGATGTCCTTTGATGCTAGTGAAGGAGTTGGAGTTACCCTCCACATCCTTGACTCAAACCTATTTTCCAGGTACTATATGGTCCCCCTACAGATTTAGCGATTCCTTATGAATATTATATTAGTCATTGAAATATCAGTATTGATAATGGGTGTATGACCATTACTTGTATTTATACCATTGTTTACCCTACAGTATTGTTTTTACATACAAACCTAAGGAATACCAGTTCTGTAAATAGGGTGGCCAGTACTATTCCATGAGAAGTATACTTATTGCTTAGAGTAGAAGGGACATGTAGCCCAAAAATTATTGTTGTTGCAGTTAAACTTGTCATACAGTGATGGATTCTTGTAACAGGATGAGATAAGAGAGAAGTTGTCCAATTCTGAGACCCTAAGAAATGAACTGCAATCAGAAGTAGTGGCCCTGAGGCTTCAAATTTCAACAGAAAGAAGTTCAACACAAGCTCAGTTACAATCTCTCAAACACCAGTTAAAGACTGAGCAGGTAAGTAACTGCCTATTATAATTTAGTGATAATTTAAATAATGCCTACAGTAGCACAAGTGAACCCACATGAAAAAAACAGAATGGAGATGAGTATTGTATAATTTGGCATGCCACTGAGGCTTGTTTAAGCAGTAGTTTTATTTCCACCTTGTGGGTTTGTTCATGCCATTGATCAACACAACAAGAGTGACATCACACTACAATCAGTGCAGTCGTCAAGATAACTAAGTAAACTGTGTATTTCGTGAAGAGGATTAATGTTTATTGCACCTGTGTGTGTGTGGATTAGTGTTCAGTTCACAGGTCCTATGAGATCCCCTGGCTTAGTATTGTTTCCAAGGTTAGACCTTTGTATTTCTTGATCACTGATCCAGTCAGACTTATCAAGGTCCTATCCTTCAAGTGTGTGCATGTGTGTATTAGGTTGTGGAAGTTAGCTTATGATGTTATGATAGTGCCCCTTTATATTAATGTTGTCATTTCATTGACATGTTCAGCTTTGTTATTGTATACAGGATCAGTAAATTTTGTGCTTCTCAGTGCAAAAACTTCCCAGTGAACTGATTTGATATGTTATGTTTTCAAAATGCAGGACCTCAGTTGCTGAGTCTAGCACACCTCAACATAAGTCATTTCAGCAGTTGGATAACAGCTACAATGATCTGATACCCCTGGGAAGAAGGGCACAGGCAAAGGGGTACTTGGTACAATTATAGACTGGTTATGTCCTCATCAAATTCAACATTTTCTGCATTTTCTGTTAATATTTTAACAGTACAAATAATAATTAAAGGCTGCATTTTTATATTTATTGATTTTTAGTGTACAGTAGTTCGAGGACTGGAGGAGCAGTTACATGCTATGGAAGAGAGCCGTAATGATGGAGAGGAGAGACTGAGAGTACAAATGGCATCTAATTCAACACTTTCAGCCACCAATGCCAAGCTCAATGCTCAATTACATGCACTCAAAAATGATCTTGCTGAGCTGAATATTGTGAGTTATTTTATTATTTATTGTTACTTATACCGTATAGTTGTCCCCTGCCACTACAGTTGCTTTAAGACTTGGAGTGTTATGAAAGAAAAACTTTTGGAACAGATTGTAAAACATTCAGTGTGATATATTACAAGCAAAATTAGTATAAAAATAAAATAAAAGCAAGTGTTTCCAGTGGTTGTAGTAGTTTTCATACAAATTATAGGTAAAGTATATCCTTAATATAATATACATATATACTTTAGGGGGTGAGCAGGTAGCTGGTAAGGGTAGTTGTAGTCCTTTTTTCTGTCTCATAAACATGCGAGATTTCAGGTACGTCTTGTTACTTCTACTTACACTTAGGTCACACTACACATACATGTACAAGCATATATATACACACCTCTCTGGGTTTTCTGCTATTTTCTTTCTAGTTCTTGTTCTTGTTTATTTCCTCTTATCTCCATGGGGAAGTGGAACAGAATTCTTCCTCCGTAAGCTATGCGTGTCGTAGGAGGCGACTAAAATGCCAGGAGCAAGGGGCTAGTAACCCCTTCTCCTGTATATATTACTAAATTTAAAAGGAGAAACTTTTGTTTTTCTTTTTGGGGCACCCTGCCTTGGTGGGATACGGCTGGTTTGTTGAAAGAAGAAGGATTGCTGGTGTCTTTTTTTGTCTCTATAAACATTTAAGGTTTCAGGTATGTCTTGCTACTTCTGCTTACACTTAGGTCAAACTTCACATGCATGTACAAGCATATATACACACACACCTCTCTGGCTTTCTTTTTATTTTCTTACTAGTTCTTGTTCTTGTTTATTTCTGCTTATCTCCATGGGAAAGTGGAACAGAATTCTTCCTCTGTAAGCCATGTGTGTTGTATGAAGCAACTGAAATGCCAGAAGCAAGGGGCTAATAAACCCTACTCCTGTATATGTTACTAAATTTAAAAATAGAAACTTTTGTTTTTCTTTTTGGGCCACCCAGCCTCGGTGGGATATGACCGGTATGTTGAAAGAAGAAGAAATTAATAAATTCATGGAAATCTTTATCGGTACCAACATTATCTGTGGATAGTTTTTCTTCAGCTTATTGTACCTGAAGAGTAGTGGCAAAGTCTAAATGTGGGAATGTAGTGATTCCCATGAGTATATATATATTTTTTTTTTCAATAAGTCGGCTGTCTCCCACTGAGGCAGGGTGACCCAAAAAAGAAAGAAAATCCCCAAAAGGAAAATACTTTCATCATTCAACACTTTCACCACACACACACATTATCACTGTTTTTGCAGAGGTGCTAAGAATACAACAGTTTAGAAGCATATACAGGTCTCCCTCAACATTCGTGAGGGTTAGGGGATCAAGAGCCTCGCGAATGTTGAAAAACCGTGAATGTTTGGTGCTCCAATATATTGTAGGGAAATATATTACAATACTGCTTCCTTAACTTGTTGAACCATGAATAATCATAAAATACATGGAAACGTCATAAATTGTACTAAATATATACATGTTATGCTTTAATAACGTATGTTATTTAATAACATGAATGTTAATAACATGTATGTTATTAAATACCACAGACTCCACCACTGCGAGTCCCTACTACCCTCCCTCCGACCCCCGCAACTGGCAGCCAGCCCTCCCACCACTCAGTGTGGTGAGTGTTTTGTTCATTATTTGCTATTAAACTACAGAATAAATAATGTAAACCCATTCATGACTGCATATTGGAATGGCTATTAGGAAAGGTATTAGACGGTGACATCATGTGTTTACTCTTGAACACAGCAAAGAATCGAACATTTCTGCTATTGCTAATAATAATAATAATAATAATAAATACGATATAATTGAAGAAGGAAATTGTACAAAAATACGAGGGAGTGGTTGACACATCATCAGTGTGACTTTGTTTATGCTGGAGTGAACATTAGTCTCCCTGCTCTTCCAAACATTTCACAATAATTCAGCGGTTGAGGCAGTGGTATTTAATAACATATATGTTATAAATAATAATAATAGTACATGTTATTATTAATAACATGTATTATTATTAACATGTATGTATTTAATAACATATATGTTATAAATAATAATAGTACATATTATTAATAACATGTATTATTATTAACATGTATGTTATTAATACCATTGCCTCAATCACTGCCTCTACCACTCCAGTCACACTCAATCTACAAGCACCAAACACAATGAATTATTGTGAAATGTTTGGAAGAGCAGGGAGACTAATGTTCACTCCAGCATAAACAAAGTCACACTGACGATGTGTCAACCACTCCCTCGTATTTTTGTACAATTTCCTTCTTCAATTATATCATATTTATTATTATTATTATTATTATTATTACTATTGTTATTATTAGCTGTAGCAGAAATGTTTAATTCTTTGCAGTGTTAAAGAGTAAAAACATGATGTCACCGTCTAATACCTGTCCGAATAGCCATTCCAATATGCAGTCATTAATGGGTTTACATTATTTATTCTGTAGTTTAATAGCAAATAATGAACAAACAAAACACTCACCACACTGAGTGGCGGGAGGGCTGGCTGCCAGTTGCGGGGGTCGGAGGGAGGGTAGTAGGGACTCGCAGGTGGCGGGAAACTTAAATATGATTTGGCGGCTGGGAATTTGGTGGCTGGGAATTCGCGAATGTGTGAAGCCCATGAAAGTTGAAAATGTGAATGTTGAGGGAGACCTGTACGTATAAAGATACACAACATATCCCTCCAAACTGACAATATCCCAAACCCCTCCTTTAAAGTGCAGGCATTGTACTTTCCATTTCCAGGTCTCAAGTCTGACTATATGAAAATAACCGGTTTCCCTGAATCCCTTCACTAAATATTACCCTGCTCACACTCCAACAAATCGTCAGGTCCCAAGTACCATTCGTCTCCATTCACTCCTATCTAACATGCTCACGCACGCTTGCTGGAAGTCCAAGCCCCTTGCCCACAAAACCTCCTTTACCCCCTCTCTCCAACTCTTTCGAGGACGACCCCTACCCCGCCTTCCTTTCCCTATAGATTTATATGCTTTCCATGTCATTCTACTGTGATCCATTCTCTCTAAATGACCAAACCACCTCAACAACCCCTCTTCTGCCCTCTGACTAATACTTTTATTAACTCCACACCTTTTCCTAATTTCCACACTCTGAATTTTCTGCATAATATTTACACCACACATTGCCCTTAGACAGGACATCTCCACTGCCTCCAACCGTCTCCTCGCTGCTGCATTTACCACCCAAGCTTCACACCCATATAAGAGTGTTAGTACTACTGTACTTTCATACATTCCCTTCTTTGCCTCCATAGATAACGTTTTTTGACTCCACATATAAGTATACACGATATGATGTAGGGCGAAATGACAGTAGTTTGTTGGATTATGTATTAGTAGATAAAAGACTGTTGAGTAGACTTCAGGATGTACATGTTTATCGAGGGGCCACAGATATATCAGATCACTTTCTAGTTGTAGCTACACTGAGTAAAAGGTAGATGGGATACAAGGAGAATAGAAGCATCAGGGAAGAGAGAGGTGAAGGTTTATAAACTAAAAGAGGAGGCAGTTAGGGTAAGATATAAACAGCTATTGGAGGATAGATGGGCTAATGAGAGCATAGGCAATGGGGTCGAAGAGGAATGGGGTAGGTTTTAAAAATGTAGTGTTAGAGTGTTCAGCAGAAGTTTGTGGTTACAGGAAAGTGGGTGCAGGAGGAAGAGGAGCGATTGGTGGAATGATGATGTAAAGAGAGTAGTAAGGGAGAAAAAGTTAGCATATGAGAAGTTTTTACAAAGTAGAAGTGATGCAAGGAGGGAAGAGTATATGGAGAAAAAGAGAGAGGTTAAGAGAGTGGTGAAGCAATGTAAAAAGAGAGCAAATGAGAGAGTGGGTGAGCTGTTATCAACAAATTTTGTTGAAAATAAGAAAAAGTTTTGGAGTGAGATTAACAAGTTAAGGAAGCCTAGAGAACAAATGGATTTGTCAGTTAAAAATAGGAGAGGAGAGTTATTAAATGGAGAGTTAGAGGTATTGGGAAGATGGAGGGAATATTTTGAGGAATTGTTAAATGTTGATGAAGATAGGGAAGCTGTGATTTCGTGTATAGGGCAAGGAGGAATAACATCTTGTAGGAGTGAGGAAGAGCCAGTTGTGAGTGTGGGGGAAGTTCGTGAGGCAGTAGGTAAAATGAAAGGGGGTAAGGCAGCCGGGATTGATGGGATAAAGATAGAAATGTTAAAAGCAGGTGGGGATATAGTTTTGGAGTGGTTGGTGCAATTATTTAATAAATGTATGGAAGAGGGTAAGGTACCTAGGGATTGGCAGAGAGCATGCATAGTTCCTTTGTATAAAGGCAAAGGGGATAAAAGAGAGTGCAAAAATTATAGGGGGATAAGTCTGTTGAGTGTACCTGGTAAAGTGTATGGTAGAGTTATAATTGAAAGAATTAAGAGTAAGACGGAGAATAGGATAGCAGATGAACAAGGAGGCTTTAGGAAAGGTAGGGGGTGTGTGGACCAGGTGTTTACAGTGAAACATATAAGTGAACAGTATTTAGATAAGGCTAAAGAGGTCTTTGTGGCATTTATGGATTTGGAAAAGGCGTATGACAGGGTGGATAGGGGGGCAATGTGGCAGATGTTGCAAGTGTATGGTGTAGGAGGTAGGTTACTGAAAGCAGTGAAGAGTTTTTACGAGGATAGTGAGGCTCAAGTTAGAGTATGTAGAAAAGAGGGAAATTTTTTCCCAGTAAAAGTAGGCCTTAGACAAGGATGTGTGATGTCACCGTGGTTGTTTAATATATTTATAGATGGGGTTGTAAGAGAAGTAAATGCGAGGGTCTTGGCAAGAGGCGTGGAGTTAAAAGATAAAGAATCACACACAGGGTGGGAGTTGTCACAGCTGCTCTTTGCTGATGACACTGTGCTCTTGGGAGATTCTGAAGAGAAGCTGCAGAGATTGGTGGATGAATTTGGTAGGGTGTGCAAAAGAAGAAAATTAAAGGTGAATACAGGAAAGAGTAAGGTTATGAGGATAACAAAAAGATTAGGTGATGAAAGATTGAATATCAGATTGGAGGGAGAGAGTATGGAGGAGGTGAACGTATTCAGATATTTGGGAGTGGATGTGTCAGCGGATGGGTCTATGAAAGATGAGGTGAATCATAGAATTGATGAGGGAAAAAGAGTGAGTGGTGCACTTAGGAGTCTGTGGAGACAGAGAACTTTGTCCTTGGAGGCAAAGAGGGGAATGTATGAGAGTATAGTTTTACCAACGCTCTTATATGGGTGTGAAGCATGGGTGATGAATGTTGCAGCGAGGAGAAGGCTGGAGGCAGTGGAGATGTCATGTCTGAGGGCAATGTGTGGTGTGAATATAATGCAGAGAATTCGTAGTTTGGAAGTTAGGAGGAGGTGCGGGATTACCAAAACTGTTGTCCAGAGGGCTGAGGAAGGGTTGTTGAGGTGGTTCGGACATGTAGAGAGAATGGAGTGAAACAGAATAACTTCAAGAGTGTATCAGTCTGTAGTGGAAGGAAGGCGGGGTAGGGGTCGGCCTAGGAAGGGTTGGAGGGAGGGGGTAAAGGAGGTTTTGTGTGCGAGGGGCTTGGACTTCCAGCAGGCATGCATGAGCGTGTTTGATAGGAGTGAATGGAGACAAATGGTTTTTAATACTTGACGTGCTGTTGGAGTGTGAGCAAAGTAACATTTATGAAGGGATTCAGGGAAACCGGCAGGCCGGACTTGAGTCCTGGAGATGGGAAGTACAGTGCCTGCACTCTGAAGGAGGGGTGTTAATGTTGCAGTTTAAAAACTGTAGTGTAAAGCACCCTTCTGGCAAGACAGTGATGGAGTGAATGATGGTGAAAGTTTTTCTTTTTCGGGCCACCCTGCCTTGGTGGGAATCGGCCAGTGTGATAATAAAAAAAAAAATATACCTCAACGCACCACTCACCTTTTTTCCCCTCATCAGTTCTGTGATTAACCTCATCTTTCGTAAATCCATCCGCCGACACGTCAACTCCCAAGTATCTGAAAACATTCACTTCTTCCATACTCCTCCTCCCCAATTTGATATCCAATTTTTCTTTATCTAAATAATTTGATACCCTCATCACCTTACTCTTTTCTATGTTCACTTTCAACTTTCTGCCTTTACACACATTCCCAAACTCATCCACTAACCTTTGCAATTTTTCTTTAGAATCTCCCATACGCACAGTATCATCAGCAAAAAGTATATATGAGTATATAGTTATCCTAAATCTATGGAGGCACCAATGACTAGTAATTTATTTTAATCTGGCAAAAGTACCTGGTCATATCAAAATTCTTTCAGAAAGATCAAAATCACTGCACCCCTCTTGACTTGCAAGCCCACATAAATTCTAAAGTTGACCAAGAGTTTGTTTATAGTCAATATCTGAAATGTACTTGAGAAGTTTGTCTTTCTGTGCTTTTAAATCTTACACAATTCTTCTAGCAACATATTACTCTATCATGAGGAGAGTTGTATTTAATCCACTCCATTTTCTTAAGTAATTCTTCCTTATCAGTTACAAATGATTTTCTCTTATGTTTCACTATGGCATGAGAATGTCCACTGCTGCTTTCAGGGGCTTAGAGTTTTTCATATCTTCCATATCACAGTCACTAGTATAAGCTACAGGTGTTGATTGATTATCATGGGAAAACATACCAGTATATCAAGTCTAAAAATTGGCATTCAGACTGCCACCACCTGGCTCCATGTAGCCTGCCATTTGAACTGAGAGAGAAAACTGAAGATATGCAGAAATGAAAAAGCACTGGAAACCAGATTGGTAAAAGGGAACTTAAGGTTCATTAATGTAAGGAATGATGGTGCTAGACTGTATTTACTTCTGTCTGTACAGATTACTCTTCTTGGTGTGTATACCTTTGAAGAGTTTCAAGAGTTTATCTACTCTCTGAGCCCGGCCATAGGCCAGGCTCATCTGGTGCTTGCCTGGTCAACCAGGCTGTTGCTGCTGGAGGCCCTCTGCCCCACATATCCATCACAGCCTGGTTGATCTGTTGATCAGTTTAAAATTATTTTTCAAAGTTTAGATTATCAGATCTAAACCAAAGCTGACAATTACTGTAAGTTATAGTGTATTAAATTAGACCTTTTTTTTTTTTGTTCCAGAAACTAGAGGGCAGTGAGGCAGAGGTGAAGGCAGCTGAAAAGCGAGTCAGAGACGAGTTTGCTGCTCAGCTGATTGAACTTCAACAAGAGCATGAGAAAGTTACTAAACTCAACAATATTATTGTGGATCTTAAAAGGCAGGGAGTAATTACCTTACCTATTTATAAGTAGAAGAGTTGAGCAATGCTAATGATGTTCCAGTATTTAATGAAAAAAATAACTTGGAGCAAAGGAATGGGTTACAAAAGGAGGTTTTGCTACATCACTGTGAATAGCTTGGATGCTTTCAGTACCTCTTCTTCTTTTACTTAAAACAATGGCTTATTTTTCTCCCTGTTGATGGTGTTAAGGAACCTTAGCTATTCTTTTGTATCTTTTATGTAGTTATCATGTCTTTTCCTATCAGCCAACGAGGGCATATCTGCCACTTTCAGCTGTTCTTCGTAATTCATTTTTTTCTAGCTTTGTAAATATCATGATCTTGTCCACTTTTTTTTTTTATTTTAGGTGCAAACACCACATCACTACTGCATACAGTGGAACCTTGACTTACGAGTTTAATCCGTTCCAGGAGCTAGCTTGTAACTCAATTTACTCGTATATCAAATTAATTTTCCTCATTTAAATTAATTGCAAAGCCATTAATTCGTTCCTGCACTCTGGAGAGATGAGAAGAAATACTTGAATATGACACTATTATCAACTGAACGGCTTATTTATCTATCACAATTCATCTAATCCTAGGTAGAAGGTTGGTAGACAGCAACCGCCCAGGGAGGTACTACCGTCCTGCCAAGTGAGTGTAAAACGAAAGCCTGTAATTGTTTTACATGATGGTAGGATTGCTGGTGTCCTTTTTTCTGTTTCATAAACATGCAAGATTTCAGGTACGTCTTGCTACTTCTGCTTACACTTAGGTCACACTGTACAAGCATATACATGTATATACATACCCCTCTGGATTTCTTTCTAGTTCTGTTCTATTCCTCTATCTCCATAGGAAGTGGATCAGAATTCTTCCTCCGTAAGCCATGCGTGTTGTAAGAGGTGACTAAAATGCCAGGAGCAAGGGCTAGTAACCCTTCTCCTGTATATATTACTAAATGTAAAAGGAGAAACTTTCGTTTTTCTTTTGGGCCACCCCGCCTCGGTGGGATACGGCCGGTGTGTTGAAAGAAAGAATTCATTTACATGACAATAATAAACAATATAATTAGCACAGAAACATGATATGTACTCTAGAATGAATAAAATAGGCCATAATACGGTGGCAGAGGCAGAAGTGTCGGCCATTCCTGTCCCAATTTGACTCTAGTATCTTCCCATGTTCTTACTGTAAGAGAAAATGGAGTATTTTTGAGGATAACTGCAGTAGATCACTAGGACCCATGGTTAGAAAAAAGAAATTTGGTCAGATGACTAAAAAAAATGCAAAAAAGCATGAGAGAACTGCCCCCACAGGGATGTAAACATACTTATTGCTTACCAGCTGTGCCAACTAGCAGAAGCAATCTGAATTATTATTACATGCGTATTATGCCAAATCTAGCCTCGTTCAACACTATTGTTAACGAAGAACTCACAAAAATAGCAACCTGGTTGACTGTCAACCAACCTACAATTATATAGACAAAACCTTTTACATTTTGTTTGGGAGTACAGTAAATGAGTCCAACTAAACATTATGCTTAACAGCACCCTATTGCTAAACATAATGAGGGAAAATTACTGGGTCTGCACCTTGATAACCTGAAACTCAACACCCATCCTCTCAAAGATACGTTACTATGTACCACAAATAGCACTACTTACACTATACTATTCACTGATCTACCCATACCTCACCTATGATATTTGTGCCTGGGGTTCCACGATGAAAAACCACCTAAAAACAATAACACAACAAAAACCTGCAGTGTGAATGATCACAACACCCACTGCCCCACTCTTCGAAGACCTAAACCTACTTACTATACAAAACATTGTGGCAACTTACATTTACAGAACAATCAATTCTGATATAAATCCTGACAGTTGCAATAGGACTCATAGACACAACACTAGGCACAAAAACCCTTATGACATTTCCCATATCAGGCTAAATCTTTTCAAACACTCATTGTACATAAAAGGACCCAAAATCTGGAACTCCCTGCCAGAAATCTCCAGAACCACTGGCTCAGCTAGCATTTTTAAAACTACATTAACCCTTTCAGGGTCCTCCCGTAGATCTACGGCTTTACGTTCAGGGTCCAAACCGTAGATCTACGCCATGAGCTCAGCTCACTCTGATAAACTGTGAGTGGTACATTTGGGCCTAGATATGAGAGAATACATCTATGTGGTATGTGTGCACCACATAAAACAGACCCTGCAGCACACTGTGTATAACGAGAAAAAAAAAATGAAATCATGTTTTTTTCGATTAAAACAGCAACTTTGCAGGTTTTTTTTTGTATTTTTTATAGTTTATTTGCGATTTCTTGGGCTCATTTTTATACAATAAAAACACAATTAAAAAAGAGAGATTTTGATTGGGGTTTTGCACGAAATGGTTGAAACTGAGGGTCAAAGTAGCAAAATGTTTTAAATTTTTTTCCCAATTCAAGAGTAAACAAACGACCTCACACGTCAACACCCGCGGGGGGTCTAATTTACTCACAAATAGGGGGTTTATATTATACAATTATTTTCAGTATTGCAAAAATAAATCTTTTATTTTTTTGGGGTGAATAAAAATTTTTATGTAAAAAAAAATCAAAATGGGGAATTTTTTTGTAAAGCCCCAAAACTAACAATGAACGAGGAAATGTTAGTTTTTGCCAGGAATGCCACTTGTTCATTTTGGCCTATTTTGAAAATTGGAAAATTTTTTTTAAATTTGTGTTAAAAAACCAAAATTTAAAAATTTTCCCATCATTTATTTTTGTATTGAAACATTGACTTGGCGATTTTTTGTGCTCAAATCAAGAAAAAAAGTAAAACTATGAAAAAAGCTAAGAAATTTTTGGGTTTATTGGAAAATGTAAATTGGGCCAAAATGGGAGTCAAAGTCGGGAAAATTGCCATTCGAAATATTGCGACAATCAAAATTCGCGAGGCATAATTTCGTCAATTTTTTACCAATTTCGTACTTTTTGTTTTTTTACCTTACAAAAAAATTCTCACATTTTTTAAAAAAGAAAAAATACCAAATTTTTTTTTTGAAAATTCTTGGACACTGGTGCGTGACTCCAGATTTGGGCCTTGGACCCTGAAAGGGTTAAAAAACACTTTTTCTCCTTAACCTATCCAGCCTATCATAAAGGCAATACGTAAAAACTATCCATGCATTTGCTCAATATCATGAACATAGGTAAAACTCTCTCATCAATATAATCGATCTATACTTACTCTGAATATCTCTATTAATCTGAAATGTTAATTTCTCCATTGTGGCCATGTAAGGTTAATAATCAAAATTGTACGTCTTCTCTACAAAACTTATTAAAGCCATATAGCATGATCTGATAGAAATACTCAATTCTCTTGTATTCATTGTAACTCGTCTATTGATCATATGTACTGTTATTGCCTTATTAATCTTAAGTCAGTTTTAAGTTTGCCCGAAATGCTCTGCATATAAAGGGGCTTTTGGCATGTGCACCCAACTATCATATTCCATTGTATAAACATGTATCATGTCAAAATAAAATATTATTATTATTATTATTAATACACAGCACTTGTCCATATTAAATTCATTTCACACAGCTATCACTCTGCTTGTTCAACGTATTCAGATCTTGCAACTATTTGAAGTAATTTTTATTGCTTGTTATTCAGAGGATTTTGCTTCATCCACAGACATGTTTATATAGTTTCTTTTATTTTTTCACAATTGATTCAGGTAAATTATGAAAATTGTTAGGGCAAACACTGTTTCCTTCTGAAACTTACATTACAAGGTGGTCAGGACACTTTTCTTCCCTTCTCTCTCAACTGCTGTGTGCTACCTCTCCACCTCCTCTCTACTCTACTTTCTTACTCTCCCTCTCCTCTTAAGTACAGAACACCTAAAAAAGAGCTTTGCAAAAAGTTAGGGATAATGAGAAGTCTTTATCAGACATTTTAGAAAATTCGGTTACTGTGGATTACTATGCTTATCCCTTCTATCAGAGTTGAATAACAAGCGATTGATATAATAAAATCACATGGATTGTGAAGCAAGCAAATTATGGGATTCTAATGTACCTTGTGTCACTTGCATATATTTTAAGAACATAAGAATGGAGGGCCACTGCAGCAGGTCTACTTGCCAATTCCCATTGAGGTAGGGTGACCTGAAAAAGAAGAAATACATGTACTTTCACCATCACTGAAGTATTTTTTAATCCATCAATTCTTGTACATACATATATATGTCCAACCTGTTCTCAAAGCAATGCAAAGAATTAAATTCAATAACCATAATAGCCAAAGTAAGGCATGTCCTATTTAAATCCAACCCTTCTAACTTGTATATGTATTTCATGATATCTTAGTTTAGCATTATTCTTGTAATACTGGTTATGATTTTTGTGTGTAAATTTAACACTACTAATAACCTCAGGAGTACATCCACAATAAGTATCAAAGTTTAACTGTAATTTGAAACTCAATAAATAAAACTATTAATTGTTTTTTGATGATGGTTCTCCACGTTTCATATACTATAATAATTTCAAAGGTATAAGTTGTGTTCTGCTTATCATATAATGTTTCAGGACCGTATCAGAACTGGAGCACCAATCTAGTGAGTACAAACGAGAAGTGAGGTTAAAAGAGGATGAAATTCAGAAAATGCGGGAAGATGAAACTCGTCGAGTAGGAATGTTACACACAGCTTTTATGTCATATTTCAACACTTCTCTTGGATCACCAATCAACCCACGTTGAGCAAATTATAAATTTTAATGTGTACAGTATTTATTTTTATAATGTTTTATAGAAAATACAGTGGTACCTTGACTTATGAGTTTAATTCGTTCTGTGACCGAGCTCATAACTCAATTTGCTCATATATCAAATCATTTTCCTCAATGAAATATATGAAATGCCATTAATCAGTTCCAGCTCCCCCCCCCAAAAAAAACTCAATTTTTTTTGTTACGGGTTTTTAAATAAGAAAAATGTATTTAAAAATAAGAAATGATTTTTGCCTTTTTTTGCCAGGTCCTAGCAATGTTTTAGAAATGCTGAAGTATATGTGAAACTCCTTGAAGCATGGTGTAAGATAAGTGTCACTCCACTGCTGACAGTGCAGCAGTGGAGTGGCATTTGATGATTGTGCACTGTTACACATAAACATGTCTGTCTATCTAGCTCTGTCTGTGTTTATCTCTGTCTCTGCTTATCTGTCATTCTGTATGCCGTTGTTCCTGTCTCTACTTGTCTGTCTCAGAGAGAGCCACTCATGAACCAACAGGTACTACACACGATGCAGAATCGTCACGTCTGATTCCTGAACAAGTGAAAATGTGTATTACTTGCCAGTCATGCTTATTATACCTTTTATCTACAAGCATAGTAGATATGTCTGTTTTTTTTTTGGTTATCCTAGGTAATTACATTATGTGTAACTGTATTTATGTGTACCTGTGAGACAGAGATAGATACAGACAGACAGAAGGAGATAGAGACAGCCAAAGCAAATCAGTCAGCCGGCCTGCCGAACATGTATTACATGTTCCAGAATCGTTTCGGTATGGAACATTCTGGCAGGATGACATTACCAGTGGTATCAAAATTGAAAGGATGTTACACATTGGTTTTAGTAGGTTTTTGATATTTTTTTGGTATCTCCTGTTAGTGGCAGCGTATCTGAAGCTCCCTCGTAACTCAGATTTTGGCTTGCAACTCAAAGCAAAAAATCGACTGAGCCATGGCTTGTAATTAGGAAAACCCATTAGTTGGGGCACTTATAAATTAAGGTATCATTGTATGAAAAATTTAAATCAGCTGATAGGCAGGGGCATTTTTTTTTTCTCCTAAACTCCGCCTTCTCTATTCTAATCTATAATGTAGGGTGTTTCACATTGTTAGAAGTAATTGATCAAAACAAATACTAATTAAAAATCATGGATTAAACTGTAATTATTAAACAGAAAAGTTTAGTATATGATTTTTTCTTACATAACCTAATCTAACCTTAAATGAAAGCTTTATGTACAGCTTTTTTATATTTTAAATTAGTAGGAAATTATTGATCAAACACACACATCTGTGTCAGCTGCTATTTTTTTTTTTTTTTTTTTTGAGAGAAACCACTTTGAATAGAAAAATATCCCTAGCTATAAGCTTATTATCAAAATTTTCGCCACTGCTTAAAATTATGCCACATGTGATATTTGACATACAGATCAAGGAAATTAAAAATTCATTAATAAAAATTTTAACACTAAAGGACTTTCTTTTAACCTAACTTTCAGTATATGTATGTACATATATTTTTAACACACTGGCCATCTCCCACTGAAGCAGGGTGACCCAAAAAAAAGGAAACACTTTGATAAAATAGACACATGTGCAACACTTGGGTATCTTTACTGAAAGATTGATGGATTGATTTCATTGACTCAAGGCTGAAGGACTGATTACCTCAAACACCACCTGTTCTTCACCATTCTCTTTTGTACGAACTTATGAAGCCACTGTGTGGCAAAACGTTTCCTCAATAAAGATAACAAAGTGTTGATACGTGTGTCTAATTGATCAACTCGTCGGTTCTCTGGACTACTTATCTACAAAAAACACTTCACCATCATTTGCACATAATCACTAACTTTGCAGAGGCACCCAGATATGACAGTTTAGATGTCACTCCAAATTTCCAATATCCCAACCCCTCCTTTAAAGTGCAGGCATTGTAATTCCCACCTCCAGGACTCCTATCTGCTAACTGGTTTTCTTAATCTCTTCATAAAATATTTACCCTGCTCACACTTCAAACAGCTCATCAGGCCCCAAAAGCCATTTGTCTCCTTTCACTCCTATTTAACACTCTCACATGCCTGCTGCATGTCCAAGCCCCTTGCACACAAAACCTAGTTTTACCTCCTCCATCCTTTCTAGGAGACCCCTACCCCCTCCTCCTATCCACTACAGATTTATATGCTCTCCAAGTCATTCTATTTTGCTCCATCCTCTCTAAATAACCAAACTGCCTCACCAACCAATCTTCAGCCCTCTGAATAATAAACTTTTAGTAACTCCACCCCTCCTAATTTCCACACTACGAATTCTCTGCATGATATTTACACCACACATTGCCCTTAGACACAACATCACTGCCTCCAGCCTCCTCCTTGCTGTAGCATTTACAACCCATGCTTCACACTGATATAAAGAGTGTTGGTACCACATATACTCTCGTGCATTCCCTTCTTTGACTCCATGGATAGTGTTTTTTGTCTCCACAGATACCTCAATGCACCATTCACCTCTTTTTTCATCAGTTTTTTTGGTTTAACCTCGTCATTCATAACCCATCTGCTGACAAGTCTACTCCTAAATATCTGAAATCATTCACTTCTTCCATATTCCCTCCTCCAATATGATATATAATTTTTCTTTACCTAACTCATTTGATACCCTCATCACCTTACTCTTATCTTGTATTTACTTTCAACTTTCTTCTTTTACACACCTTCCCAAACTCGTTCACTAACCTTTGCAGCTTCTCTTTAGGATCTCCCAAAAGCAGCAGCATCAGCATAAAGTAACTATGTCAGCTCCCATTTTGTATTTGATTCCCCATACTTTAATCCAACCCCTCTTCCCAACACCTTAGCATTTACTTCTTTTACAACCCCATTTATAAATGTGTTAAACAACCATGGTGATATTTTTCATCCCTATCTAAGATCTACTTTTACTTGGAAGAACTCTCCCTCTCTCCTCACACACCTTAACTTGAGACTCATTATCCTGATAAAAACTACAGCGTTTAGTAACTTACTACTCCATACACTTGCAACTTTTGCCACATTGCTCCCCTATCCTCCCTGTCCTATGCCTTTTCTAAATCCATAATTGCAATGAGAATTTCCCTACCTTTATCTAAATATTGTTCACGTAATGTTTCAGTGTAAACACTTGATCTACACATCCCCTACCCATTGTAAAGCTTTCTTGTTGATCTGCAATCCTGCAGAAATAATTCCATTATAAAATCGGTATGTACAAGTTTTGTACTACCAAAATTTTTTTACTTTTTCAAAGGAAAAAACTTTTTCCTTTTTTCCACTATACGTGGACCCCCGCTTAAACGATCAGCTCCCAATGCGACCAATAATGTAGTGTATTTATGTAAGGCGTGTAATGTTTGGGGTCTGAAATGGACTAATCTAATTCACAATATTCTTAGGGGAAAACAAATTCGTTCAGTAATGGCACCTGAACAAACTTCTGAATGAAATAATATCGTAAACCGGGGGTCCACTGTTTTTTGTATTATAAAATTTTTTTTATGTAATTTGAATTTTTTTTCATATTCAGTACACATTCAGTCAATACACATTCAATCACAATAATTTACAAAAATCGTACAATAATGTGTTACAAATTCTAATAAAATATATTGATATTTAATGGAGATAATGCGAGTTGCGATCAACCTTCATGTTTGTTTGGGAACTTTTTGTGGAGGTCGATGCTATGTTTCAAGCCTCACATACAATACTGCAACTGTTTTTATGGAGTTTGGTGCCTCATTCCAAGAAATATCACGTACATACAACAACTTGTGTTGTGGGGGTTTAAACACAACACTCCACTAAGCCTCTCATACATTGCAATCCCGGCAGGCCCCGCTTGTACAGCAAGTTAGGTTCCAGGCTACTGTTGTAAAGCGAAAATCACTGTAAAGGGGAACATGGCCCTTTTTTTCACTTTCACATGCATATAAAAGCCTGATAACATGTTTCCCACAATCATGTATTGAGTGAGCAATAGAGCTAGGCTTAAAATTGCATATCCCGTGCACACATTGCTTACCTAAAAATATTCTTGTCTTTAGCTAAACAATTGGTGAATATATTTATTGTAGGAAGTCTGAATAAATGAAGAACGGGTATGAATTAACAACCACTGCATTAGCAAAATGCTGTTAAGTGAAGCACTGTAAAGGGGGGCCCCTCCTGTAACATCCATAAACACTCCTGAACATATTGTCAGTTCCTAGATCCATACTGTTTTTATGCTAGTGTGAAACGACCTAAATTTTCCCTTTAAACCCTTTGAGGGTTTTCGTCGTACTAGTACGTCTTACGCGTGGGGGTTTTTTGGGCGTACTATACGCATAAATTCTAGCGCCTCAAATCTCGCGCGAAAAGGCTGGTAGGCCTAGGTGTGAGAGAATGGGTCTGCGTGGTCAGGCGCGAGGTAAAAAAAAAAAATCTGGGACCCAGTGGTGCATTGGGAATGCCCTCATAGTAAAAAATTCCACCATGCCTCGCGGTAAGAAGCTCCTCACTCCTCGGCGAATTGGGACACTTTTGTTCCCCAGTGACAGTTCTAATAGTGATGGAAGTCCCAGTGAAGATGATTTCGGGGTTTTAGTGAGGTTTTGACCGAAACTAATGACCATAATATCGGTAATATGAAGAAAAACCCAGACGACCCTCAGCCTTCCACCTCTGGGTCTGGCCCTCTTTGTTCACGTTCATTTGTTCCAGAACCCAAGAGGAAACTTCTATTTTCCCCAAATCCCAGACTCAGATGAGAGCAGGGGTGATGATAGTGTAGTGAATATAACAACAAGCTCTTCAAACTATTTCCAGTAGTGATAGTGAAGTGCAATATTCCCCAGTGAAGCGTCCCGTATATACGACGATTATATGCGCTCGGAGTGTGCCATATGTTATACCCCGGGAAGGAGTGTATCCGGATACATCCCGGGCTGTACAACAGGAACAGACAGTGAAAATGACGAAGATACTGTTGCAATTGGGATGGAAAAGTGCGTGGTGGTAGTGGGCCGGCGGGAGAGCACCACAGTGGGCCATGCTGCACCCACGCCGCTG